TATCCCAGCCTTGTCGAAAGAGCTTCAAGAAAATGAAACGTTCGAACGTCCTCGCCAGAATCGAGGTAGATGCGTTTCAAGAGGGCGGTGGCAGCGGCCACGAAGATGATTTCCAATCGGACTTCGCGATATGTGATTCCCGCAAGACAGCGCGTGACCAAATCTGACTGGTTCAAGTACGCCCTAATTCTATAAAAGTTAACACGTACCCTTCGTTTTTGCTCGAATTCATTTCTGTTTTTTAATGTATATACTGTGTGCGTTCGTACTATGACACACTATTTTGTATGCCCTCGCGAAATCCATGCGTAATTTGCACACCCCCTTCTCGGGGCCTCAAAATCGCAAATAAAAGTGCGCAAATTATGTGAGTAAACACAGTGTACTCAAATTGTCTATAATGCTGGTTACGCTTCATACAACAGGCCAGAATGGACATATAGATTCACAAGGTTCAGAGAATCCCAGACTGCTACAAATGATGAGCAAGGGGTTATTGGTGATGTCATCTCCTGGTGGTGGCGCGTGTCCCTGTTGATAATCTCTGTCTGAAAAGCAGAGAAAAAAAGCTATAAAGCAGAGGAGCGAAATGCTCGCTTCTCTTCAAGTAGGTGGTAGTGATTCAGAATTGTTCTTGGAGATGGAAAACTAGAAAAAGAGAGAAAGAAAAAAACCCCTTCAAGTTGGAGTGGTGTGTTGCAAAGTGGTGGCCGTGTCAGACACGAATAAACAAAAGAGCTTAAACCTTTGGAGCCGGCAGACGGTCGCCGCGTACGGCTACCTCAAAGGATTCCCGAACCCCTGTGAATGGGACGCTTAAAGAGAAAGCAGTTACAAACAGGGAAGAAGCAGGGGGTGTACCTTTAATTGCAAGATGTTGAAGGTAAGCGCTTACCTTCACTTTATACATAGTTTTTTTTTTTGCTTTCCAGATGGCAATTCTCAACAGGGACACGCACCACCACCAGGAGACGACGTCATCACTAACCCTTTTAAAACTAACACGGCAGGGATGACACGGCGCCTTTGAAAACGATAAGTCCTCCTATCGAAACGTCAGCCAGCCAGTCTGAGGCGCATCCACTGTTCGCCCTGATTATCCCACTACATTTTTTGTATCTGTTGGCACCCATCTAGATTTTGGATTCAAATGATGAGCAAGTCACTTAACCAAAGTGAGCATCATACACTGCTCGATGCTCTATCTAAGCACTCAAAAGTGTTAGATTTGTTTAAAAACAGTTAAAAGCTCCAAACTCCAGCATCCCGGATAAGTCATCAAATCCACACCAAGTCGGGGCATCCAATTAGGCGGAAACCTTACCATCATGCTGGAAACGAGAATAATCTAGAAATTGGCAAGTACTTGGGCTGCTCCCATCATTCTAGTCGCGAAGAAAGATGGTATGTGGAAATTCTGCATTGACTACTGCTAACTGAATTCTGTTGCCAATAAATACGTCTATCCACTGCCATAGATTGCCTGCATTCCACGTCCTACTTTTCTTCTGTTGATCTGAAATCAGCTTATTGGAAAATTCTGTTACTTGCAGCTGACAAGAAAAAGAGCGCATTCGTTATGCCTGACGATCTGTATGAATTCAATGTAATGCCATTTGATTTATGTAACACTCTTGCAACATTCGAAAAATGCCTAGTTAAGTACAAATGAAGCCACAAAACATCGAAATGGAAAAAAGCAGAGCAGCAAAAACAAAGACAGAAAGCAGAGATGTTGCTGTTTATTCTGTCTCTGTTTCAGCTGCTCTGCTTTTTTCCGATTTCGCCGTTTTGTGAATTCATTTGTAGTTAACTAAGTAGATATATATGTACCAACTTGCTGAGCAAGCAACTCTCCTGAATTCGAAAAACTCATGGGCCCTATTCTGCATGGTTTCGAATGGCAGATCTGCATTCATTGCCTTAATGATGTCCTAAATTTTGAACGTATGTTTCAGGAGCATAACACTCGCTTAGATATTGTGCTCAACTCTAATTGAAAAGTCTGGCCTCGTATTGAATCTGAAAAAGCGCCACTTTGACGAGTAAGAAAAATTGGAGCTGGGATGTCTCGAGAATAAAAAGACCTTACCCACCAAATACAGTGACTGTTGAATCGCTCGAGCGGCTGAAATCCTTAAAACAACTTTGTAGCTTCATCGGACTCTGCAAGTATTTCCGGTGGTTCATACCCAGGTTTGCGGATGTCGTTCACTTCCTGAAGAATCTTTTGCGCAAGGACAGTTAATTTCAGTGGACCTCTGAGCATGATGCCACTTTTCGAAAGCTGAAGTGTTTAACTTCTAAGCCGAAACATCTGATCTTCATTTTCCGCTCAAACACCCAACCTCTGTTCACTTAAGAACCACACGAAGAATATTCGCGTGAAACCCTGCAGATTAGACACACACAAAATGTTTCTCTGAAAGCTGGGCGCTCATCATGATGGTACGCACGCTGTTCGTGAACTGAGTGTTATTGGCACAAGACAATTGACAAATATAAACGACAACTATAACTATAACAATTGACAACTATAAACGTGCGCTGAAAGTGGATACGGTAGCATTTTAAGTCTTCTCATGCCCAATTGTTATCCTGCATTTCGTAGTCCAAGAACACAGCCACATGCTATTCCAGCGATTCAGAAAGTTTGGCTAGAGTTTCGTATGCATTGTGTAAATACGCACATGACTGGCAAATGCACAAGTGATGAGACAGCTGGTTTCTGATATTATATCTTTTTGGCTCAACTTCTACCAGTAGTGTTCTTCTAAGAAACTGTGCTGCATACAAAGCAGGAATGGGGTGCCGGCGTTTTTAAACCGAATTGTGCAATGCAGGCCTGGGCAGTGGACCAAGGCTAGCGCATACCTTCACTCCACGGAGTCCTAGTCCAGCATCACGAACATCAAGGCGATCGCGAGGCCAGAGTGAATGAACGAGCCATGCACATGGGGCATTTGTGCTCGGCTTTGTAAAATAATATATTCTACAGCTGAGCCCTTTTATAGAAGACACACTCCAAGTAGTACCCTTGTTTCTTGTGTCTTAAATTAGGTGTGTCTTCTAAGCAGGGTACCTAATTCCAAAATTTCTGATCGACCCCTATTTCAATTTTGGACACAGTGGTGTTGCTTATAACCAGTTGTCTCTTACATCAGTGCCTCTTATAAAGGAGTTAACTGCATGCATTGGTTTTTGTAGCAATAACTGATACGATATAGCTTTTTCTTCATATTTAGAACGGGTGCAAGTATTGCTTTAGCTGTGCTAACCTCATTATGTTAAAGAGCTAATTTCGCAGAAACTGCCCCGCCGCGGTGGTCTGGTGGCTAAGGTATTCGGCTGCTGACACGCAGGTCGCGCGATAGAATCCCGGCTGCGGCGGCTGCATTTCCGATGGAGGCGGAAATGTTGTAGGCCCGTGTGCTCAGATTTGGGCGCACGTTAAAGAACCCCAGGTGGTCAAAATTTCCGGAGCCCTCCACTACGGCAGCTCTCATAATCATATGATGGTTTTGGGACGTTAAACCCGACATATCAAATCAATCATTTCGCAGAAACTTTGGTGTCGGTGTCGTTGGTGTTAGCGAGAAAATCATTATATTATTCACGTCCAAAAAAAATGGAGAAAGATGCAAATAAAATTATTGAAAAAATTCGTGTGACCAAGTCAGGACTGAAGCCACAATCTTTGCATGGCAAACATTCGTTTTTCCGCAGAGCGCACATATGCTTAAAAATAGTGTGAAAATAAGTTTCTCTACATGGAATACAGTAAAATAACTTTCATGTTTTACAAACACGCGCATCCTGTGTACCAGCTTCACAATAGAACATGTATCATTGGAATAATATTGTGCGGTACAAGCGTACACTGCAATCGGACATCAGAAAATGTGATTATCCTAATAACTTTATGGTTTAATCCAGCCTAACATTCCAAAAGGCACATACGTTAGAGTGTATCCCCTTAAGATCACGTAGTGGGTGCATAGCTAGTTGCAGAATATTTCATAACTGTTTGGCTCGTGGTTTAAAGCATGCTACTATTACACTCAAACTAATCATTGGCGAAAGCTTCGCCAACAATAGTAATTTTCCACTTTATTGATCACAGAGGGGTAATCCATAATTATAAGTTCCCAAGTAACATCAAACAATAAAAGTATGCACTAAGAGGTGGAAGTGTGCCCTAGGGACAGGATATTGCTATCGCGTTGAACTCTTAACGTAAAGCTTGACTGTCCCTCAGTTTTTCAGTGATGATGATGTTGCAAATATCAGAAAGACGAATATGTAAGTGTCAACATTGAATAAACACTTATAGTTTCAGCCGCTTTGTTCTGCGCAAAAACATTTCATCAAAGTATGCATCTTGTTTTGGTATGTTTAGTGATCTTCAATACACTCTTATAGCAGTTATGATTATGTTGAGGTGCCATCTGAAAAATGTTCAGTTATGTAAATTGCTTGCCTGCGCCACTTAAGTGTTTAAAAAGGCACGTGCGAAGTCCAGGACGTAGCCAGGATTTTTTTTCAGAGTATGGGAGGGGGGCGAGGCCTAATTGTTTGAAAGTCTTTACATGGCAAATAGAAAAAAGTTGCCCGGGAATATAGAAGGTGCTTAATTATTATAAGAAAATGACAACAAGGTGGAATGCAGCACACAAGGTGATTTAATCAGCAATGGAAAATGAATTTTGGCACTGCAGTAGAGCTAGTCCATGTGCACCAGAAAGGATGCTTCTCTACCAAACGATCTTGACCAAGAAGAGCCACACAGTCAGTAAAGCGAAACAAGTGACAAAAAAAGGGGGGGGGGGGGGGGGGAACACGATTGAAACCGGTCGTTCATACCCATGTGTATGGATGACTAGTTTCAATGGTGAACTTTCCGTTAGCAGGAGTCGAACCTACGTTTAAATTCACACATACGTTTAAATTCCCTCGTTTAAATTCACATATAAACCCAATAAAGTGGCCGGGGGAGAGCTGCCGTGATAGCTCAGTGATAGAGCATCAAACGTGTTATTTGAAGGTTGTAGGTTTGATTCCTGCTCACGGCAAGTTATTTTTTCACCCACTTTTCTTTCTTCCTATTTACATTACATTGGTTCTAATAATTTACTTAATACATTCCTTGGTTTTATTGCGTGTTAGATGTCATTATTATTGTGTCTAAACACGGAAAAATGAGCCCTTAAGTATACACTTCTTTCCCTTATTCATTAACGAGGGTCTCGTACTGGCAGACTTGGTGTCGTTGGGTTGTATACGAGGGACTATTGGTCGGCTGCCAGCTCATAATAAGTTCACGTGCTACGTGACGCCACACAGACTCATCACTTACCGCCATGGCTACAGATGGCGCTGACTGACGCTCCCACGTTTAAATTCACATATAAACCCAATAATGTGGCTGGGTAGATAGGCGCCATGATACCTCAGTGGTAGAGCATCGAACGCATTATTCGAAGGTCGTAGGTTCTATTCCTGTTCACAGCAAGTTATTTTTTCACCCACTTTTCTTTCTTCTTATTTACATTACATTGGTTCTAATAAGTTCCTCTATACATTCCTTGGCATTATTGTCTGTTAAATCTCATTATATATATATATATAGGAGAAACAAGTGTATACTTAAGGGCTCGCTTTTCGTGTTCATTATATATATATATATATATATATGTATATATATATATATATATATATATATATATATATATATAATATATGAATCTCATTATATATAATGAGATCTAACAGACAATAATGCCAAGGAATGTATAGAGGAATTTATTAGGCCGATTGTAATGTAAATGAGAAGAAAGAAAAGTGGGTGAAAAGATAACTTGCCGTGGGCAGGATCCGAACCTGCGACCTTCGAATAACGCGTTCGATGCTCTACCACTGAGCTACCATGACGGCTATCCCCCCAGCCACATTATTGGGTATCTATAGCAATGGAAACATGAGAGTGTCAGTCAGTGCCACTAGTAGCCATGGCGGCGAGTGTGACTCACTGTTTATGAGCCTGTTTGGCGTCACGTAGCACGTGAATTTATTACTGACTGGCAGCTGACCAATAGTCCCTCGTGTACGACCTAAAGGCACCAAGTCTGCCAGTACAAGACCCTCGTTAATGAATAATCGAAAGAAGTGTATACTTAAGGGCTCGTTTTTCATGTTTACACAATATTAATGAGATCTAGCAGACAATAATGCCAAGGAAGGTATAGGGGAATTTATTAGACCAATTGTAATATAAATGAGAAGAAAGGAAAGTGGGTGAAAAGATAACTTGCCGTTGACAGGATCCGAACCTGCGACTTTCGAATAACGCGTTCGATGCTCCACCGCTGAGCTACCACAGCAGCTATCCCCCCAGTCACTTTATTGGGTATCTATGTCAATTTAAACATGGGAGTGTCGGTCAGTGCTACTAGTAGCCATGGGGGCGAGTGTGACTCACTCTTTATGAGCCTGTTTGGCGTCACGTAGCACGTGAATTTATTACTAACTGGCAGCTGATCAATAGTCCCTCGTATACAACCTAAAACACACACACATATATATATATATATATCGGACACTTTCTCTGCCAAACTGGCCTGCGAGAAGAACTGGAAGAAAGCTTTGAACAAGGAAGACACACATTTGGGAAAATAGTTGTAGACGACAAAGAATTGAAACTGTTATGCTTTCTGGACACAAAAGAGGCAAACATTAACATTCATTTTAGCAAGCAACTAAATAGAAGTAAGAGCCCTGCGGGCTCCAAATTCTATATGGGGCTGTGAAAAATGCTGTCAAGATAAATGGGTAGTGCAAACAGGGCTGTTCACTAGCGAACAAGCATACGCCCTTCACTTTGGTTAGCTTGAGGCACGTTTTCTTGAAAATCAAGGACCTAGCAAACTTCTTCCTTCAATTCAACCTTGTTTTAGAATCGAAGTAAGCTGATCAAAACGAACTGTGGGTACAATAAAAAATAATTTTCACTTATTTCAGCATGCTGAAACTGGCTATGTAAGTGCAAGCAAGCATCGCATGACTTCGAGTTCGCGGCAAGCACTCTGACGTGCGTTCTGTAACGCCTTATTTTGCATTAAAAGGGCACTGCGGCACTTTTTGAACAGTCTTATTTAGCACTGGATTGCGTGTAGTGATGATTACCGAGACAAATGCAACAAGAATTATAGAAGTTAGTGCACGGAAAGGGAAGCTATGAGTCTTTAGAGTTCAAATCTCGAGCAGACGACGACGAGAAACGTTCTCTTTTGCATTTGACTCACTTTCCGACGTCAAATACCGCTTCCAATCACAGCTCGGGTCTTGTTAAGACATACCGGAAAGGTAAGCTCAGGGTGGCCCTCAAACAATACCCCACTACAGCTTCTTTTGATGGCATTGTTAGCATGGTTATTACGAACTACAGGCGTAGCAGATACAACCCTGTAGCACTGTGTTAAATACACATATGCACTTTGGGCAGGGTGACTTCCTGGCTTGCTTGCAAGACGGTTCTACGGCAATGCCGGCACCCACTACCTGTCACATTTTTGGCACGCTAAAAACATGGCACGCATTTCCACTTCCAATTGCTGGCGTACCATAGCCTCGTTCCCAGGCTAAGTGTTGTGTTCGTTGTTCTGAAATACACCATTTATAAACAGGAATAATTTCTTTCTGAGAAAGTGTAAAAGAAGTTTGTGCTGTTTTTGGCATTTACTCGTATGCACAAGCTGCCAGCATATGAATATTGCACGCTATTTCTAGCGTGCAGCTAATAAAAAACGAACGGTCCTTGTCGCCACGTCACATGATCCTACATCACTTCCCATAACAAAAATAGCTCATGTGTGTTGCCATGGTCTGAAGTCAAGGTAGTTTATCCTGTGAATTAAAATTATAACAGCACCAATTTTGCTGTTGCCAATTGTGCAATAATATCGATGCTTTCCATAGCACCCGAAGAACATATAAAAAATACACACTCAAATAGTGTCGAAGGGCCTCTTCAAACATGAGCGTAAACATGATGGCAAAGCGATGAAGTGAATATGCAAGCAATGTATCTTTCGAGCAGTGGTGCGAAGCTCGCTATATATGGCACAAATTCCCCTAGCGATTTTCGCCTTTGCAGTTGCACTCTTTATAGATATCTCTCTTCCTGTGTGTTGAACTCTTTTTATTACGCATGCTAGAAGGTTCACTTGATAGTTGTCTTCTGTTCGTATATACTGAAAATATACTGCAGGCATGTCCAATTTCTCGGTGTACAACGAAAGGTGAAACTGATGCCTCCAAGACAAAAATCGCTGAGACTAACGGCAAGAAAAACCCGATTATGGTCACGATCCTTTTGCGATTTACCTGTGAGACATACATATTCGAATTCGCTTCCCATTTGCTTCCCTGTTTTCTGGTGGTGAGGGTTAACCTTGTGTGGCTAACCACCCTGAGTTAAGCCATTTGGTTACAGTCACAGTGTACAGCTGGCGTGAGCAGGTCTTGCTTGTTCTTGCTTGTGAGCTCCTGTCCTGTCATCTCATTGGGCTCCGTGGTGAGCGGCTGCTACCGTGGCTGAAACACATACAAAGTTAATGAAAACTTCGCCTTTTACACTTGATGGCCACGTTCAGAAGAGGACGTGCACCCACAGCACAGTTTTTTACTAACAACAAAAGCACCTTCCATAATTTCCATGTAATCCAAAACGAGCACTCGGAAAGAACAGCAAAGCATGTTTCTCCCTTCAGAGTATCTAGAACCCTGACTGACACCTAAGGGCAAGAATGTAAAATCAAGAAGCTAGCCAATGAGGACCTTCTCTTGGAAGTGCTCTAGCAACACCAGTACGAGAACCTTTTAAAAACCAGGGCCTTCGAATACATTACAGTATTCATCACACCTCGCCGATCGCTAAACACCGTTCAAGGTGTCACTTCAGATGATGACTTGAGTTATGTGACTGAAGAACTTCAGAATGGACCAAAGGACCAAAACGTCACAAATGTGTACAGAATATATATCAAACGGGAAAACAAGGAAAGCTATGTGCTTGATATTGCCAGTTCTTGTTGCATAAATGAGATCAGAGCCGATAGCGCTACATACTTGCATACTGGAATGATAGTACAAAGATTATTTTCAGTTTTCTTAGAATTTGCGTGTTGGTCGCATGCTGAAAGCTCTTTGTCCAAATTTTCCAAGTGCCTTTATGGAGCATATTCTGAGCAGCTACCAAGAAAACTCGCAACTCCGAGCAGCATTTCGCTTTTGGAACAGTATGGAAGAATTGCTGTACTTTCATCAATTGGTCAACCGGTATAGCTTAGATATTTTGACCAATGCTGAAGACTAAGAGCCGTGAAAGGCAAAAAAGATCAGTATAATAACTTCATGACAGCAGTTCGAGTGGCCACGATTCATTTTTCTTTTGTTTTTAATTTGACAGTAAATGTTAATCACAATTCTAACAGTTACGAGTGGTCTAGTTATATACAACATTACAGTAAATATGGAATTTTTCAAATCACGGCAGTATGAAGCAGAGGTGTAATGAACAATAATTTCTTGGTATTTAAATGTTCAAATAGTGATATGATTTTAATATACACTCTAGAGGAGGGCTCCGGAAACTTCAACTATCTGATGTTCTTCAACGTGACCCCCAACTCGCTTCCTTGAGGCTTTCGGGTTATGAGAGAAATGTAAAGTGTCACAAATAAACATCAGATGCCTGCATAAAACAAGTTGCTCAGTTTCAGTGAAAAGTGCAGGAGCAGATTTATAAAGCCCATTCTAAACTCTCTTGGTGCAAAACAGCTACAAGAACAGTTGTGATGTACCCACAACTCAAAAAATCTTAATCCTGGGAAGTAGGGACATAACCACTGTGCCATTATTATTCTGTGGAGAAACAAAGTACCCACTACACATCTGTTAGGCATTATGTGTGTTGCGTTGATACTCAGGCTGATGACAGAGAATTAATAATATGCTCGGAGCCTTTATGAATAGTGGGAAGCCCTGGTGCCATTTCACTCCTTTGCCACGTTAC